CTCCCAACAACTGAATGACGGGCCGGCGGTGTTTCGCCTTCTTCTTGCCACAAACAACAAGACGGATGACTGACGCAACCGCTCTGTTGCGGTGACTCAAAGATGATGATGTTAGCCTGTCACTGTGTTGGAGACAGATGTGTGATGGATGGAGGTGAGCGGCGATACGCCTCACTGACCTGAAGTTCCGCCAAACTCAGAGACGCTTTGGAGATGACATCAGACATCCCAAAAACTGGATTCCTCGTAACATGAGTAGCATAACTAGCACATTCACTTTTACTCTAAAACCAACGATCAAACAAAATGAATTCTACATTGTATTTTTTTAAAAACAGCCACGTTAGCTTAATGCTAACAATGAAAAATGCCACAGAAGGAGTCATGACGTTTGAACAACAACAACAACAACAACAAAAAAGACAAAACAAATGCAGACATAATATCAACAATATTCGATGTGACAGGCATCTGTTCTTTATCCTCCGCAAAGAACAACAGATATTACTGCGGCTTACTGAGAATTTGAGATGTATACCCGTATGTCTGTATTATACTGCTCCCAAAGGGCCAAGATGCAGCACTAAGTACATTGAGTGCTTCTTTTCGCATTAGAAAACAGAAACAAAAACCAACATTTTTATTGTTTGTTTATTATTTTACCTCACTAAATCCAACAAATGCAATTCAACAACTTTACATCGATAGTAGAGTGAACATTTTGCTATTTATTGTATCAGGTAATCCAATTCAACAGACAAAAATGAATGAGTACTTCATCATGAAAACAGTTTTTCCATCAACGAATGACCTGCCCCATCTGGTCATTCTATCAAATGTGACCTTTGACCCGCAAACGTTTTTTCCACCTGTGACTCATGCTGCAAGTGTAGCTCATGTCGTGGCAGGCAGAGGTAAATGCTGAATAATTAAATCCTTTTTTGTTGTTGTTGTCGTGCTGGTCAAGCGCAGCTGGACAGGAAGGCAGAGAACTTCTCAAGTTATCGTTCCTCGGAACAGGACGTCATTTGGTCGCAGCCTGTGTGGTGTATGTGTGTGTGTGTGTGTGTGTGTGTGGGTGTGTGTGTGTGTGTGTGCGTGTGTGTGTGTGTGTGTGTGTGTGTGTGTGTGTGTGTGTGTGTGTGTGTGGGGGGGCTGGTCAAATGACGGCAGCAACAAGTGGAAAACGAAATGGCTGCAATCAAATTGGGCGCAAATCAGGACGTGTTCCTTCGGAGCACTCTTTATTAGCGTGTGGCATCAGAAAATGACATTAAAGTATGACATCACTGAATGACAACATCGCCTAAGTATCGTAGAGTGTCATTGCAGTTGTTATAGCAACAGTTTTTTGCACGCATAGAGGGCAACATCTTATCGTGAATTTTTGGATCCCTGAATTTGGAGGAAAGGGAAATTCCTTGAACCCTTGAAACTTTAAATATAACCTGAAAAGGGCAAAGAGAAAAATGATTGAATGAGATCAGATAAGATTAAAAATGAAATTCTCTTTAATTTTATTTTGGTCACTTTAAGTGTAGTTTTCTTTGGAGTCGACCCACAAAAAATTCTCAAGAACCCAAGCCCTTAAAAAAAAAAAAAATAAAACACTCAAGCCAGAAGTTTTGAAGTGATTGTTTTAGGGTTGTTTGTCTTGATAGTTGCTCCTCAGAATTGTTTTGAAATATTAGCCCCTGAAGCCAGTTTTACTGAGCAGCATGAAATTTGATGGACATATCTATAATGAATAGACCCACAAAAAAAAGTCTAAAGAGCCCAAAGCTGGAATCGAAGTTTACACTGTTAACTTTCATGTCAAAGGATTGCATGAATCCTGTTGCAGATGCAGCTGTTCTGAACACTAAATTGTCATAAATTATACAAAAACAAAAAACAAAACAAAAAGAAAAATAATAAAGTCAACCACACCAAACGATGCCAAGTGATGGCGTTTGAGGTCATCGTAAACATTTTATGAACCATAGAGGCAATGTTTAGATAACATTTTGACATCCGTCACTGACATTCGTTAAAAAAAATACAAATAATAAATCATCTGTCTTAACTTTATGACTACTGCGGATTGTGAAGGTTATATGTCACTTTCATAACAATAAAATGGGAAGGCACCGAACTCGAGAAGGAAGTTAAGGCTGTAAAAATAAAGTTTTAAAATGCGAAAAAAGTGACATACATGGTTAACCTCTTGTTTGAACTTGACTACATTATCGCTGTTAATTTGCTACCTGCAGCTTTCACTTCACTTCATCAAAGATGAAAGTGGATTACTGTGTCCAAAGGTCAACAAAATTTGTGCTTTTTTTTTTTTCAAAGGAGAAACAGATGCAGACGACTTTGCAAGACACCCTGATGCCACATTCGAGGGCAGGAGGCCCTCGAGCAACAGCATCGTTAAACCTTCAAATATTAAAAGTCTTCTTAGGATCACGGATATGATTAAAGCGTCGACGAGCTGAAATTCATGTGGCATCCCCAGCGTCTCTCGGGCCATGTGAAAGTTGGGAGGAGTCCTTGCAGCTATGCATTTCGACGAGGAGGGGGACAATTCGTCAAGCTCTGATCTTGTGGAGCTGAGTTATTAAGAGTTTGGTGTCACAGACTGGGCTCTAGAAACCTTTTGGTGGGTTGACTCATAATTGATCGGTCTACAAAATTCCATGCTGCTAAGTCAAACTGCCGCCTGGGGCTGGATTCCGGGAGTGATGGTGGGTGTTGGTGCTACCAAGCCAAACAACCCTCCGCCTGTCAATTTAAACCAAAAATATCAGGCTTCACTTGTCGTTTTTCAGGTTTGAGACTTTTTTTGTGCGTCTACTCATGATGGTGTGCAAACCAAATTTCATGTTGCTGAGCGAAAATGGCATTTGGGGCTGAAATTGTCAGAAGAATTCTCGCGGAGCATTATGAGCTGAATGATCCTGTTGTCTTTTCAGGATTGGGTCCTTAAGATATATATACACACACACACGATGTGGTGTGCTTTGGAATCTAAGCTGTTTACCCTTTGATTGGTAGATAAAGTCTATTGAAAATAAAATTCTGCTCTTACCGGCAGTGTGAAAGGGGCTCGTGAACACTCTCTACAGCCTATCTTCAAGCAAGCCTGCATGCATGTAATTCGTATTCAGTTCAATTCCATCCCACACTTGTTTTTCCAAGTCAGTTCCTCCCGGCCAACGTGTGCTAAGCAAGGGAGGAGATTGATGGGATTAGTAAAAATAATAACGCTATAATTGCATTATGGTGTTGAAGCTTAAGGCCAGGTCCCTCTTGCGTGTGTATCACCGAACCAAACTCGACCTTCCTCACGTGTCCGTGATTCATTGCTCCACGGTGACTCGTTCATTTGCAGTTGCACCATATGCGAAGTTGAGGCCGAGGGATCCGCAGATGGCTCGTGGCGGAGCGTCACTCACGGGACACTGACACACACGACTGCTCTCAGTTCACCGGGAGGACCGTTGATGGACCCCTTGATAGGCTTTTATTCATTGTGTGACCAAAAAAACCAAACAAAACAAAATAAAAACAGTTTTGCAAGAGTTTTTAAATTCAATTCAGTGGACAATGTGCTGCTTCTTCTGATGTGTGCACATTGGCCACCGGGGGCAATATAACACATACTGTGCAGTACATGTTGATACGATAATGCAGCGAGCAATACAATCACAATCAAGCTACCGTAATATTAGTCCTGTTTTGTCGAGGATAAAGAATATATGCCTGTCAGTATTGTAACAGGCGGCACGGTGTCCGACTGGTTAGCTTGACGGCCTCACAGTGCAAAGGTTCAGGGTTTGATTCCGGCTCCGGCCCTCCGGTGTGGAGTTTGCATGTTCTCCCGTGCCTGCGCGGATTTTCTCCGGGTACTCCAGTTTCCTCCAACATTCCAAAAACATGCATGGCGGGTTACTGGAACACTCTAAATTGTCCCGAGGTGTGATTGTGAGCGTGAATTGTTATGTCTATGTGTGCCCTGCGATTGGCTGGCGACCAGTTCAGGATGTCCCTGCTTATTGCCCGAAGATAACTGGGATAGGCACCAGCACGCCCGCGACCCTCGTGGGGATAAGCCGATTAGAAATTGGATGGATGAAAGTATTGTTATATGCTCTGTCTGCAAAAATATTTTTTTTACGGATTTGTACCTAATTTAGCGCATCTATGGTGTTTTGCATTAGGGGTCAGCATTGAGCTAGCAGACCTTTGGAAAACAAATACACAATGCATAATTCGATTTGTTTGGTGTTTAGTTTGACAGTAAACTTGACCTAAAACAGCTTGAAGTCTCTTTTTTGGAAGAATTGTTTCAAATCCGTCATACAGAGCTCGTATCTCAAAAAAAGTCAAAGCGAAAAAAAGAAAAAACATGGATTGATCTGGTCGACTCTGCCATGTGGTTCATTTCAGATGAATAACACATTTACTGTACAAAACAAGAATTGAATTAATTACCCTCAGCCAACGTTTTTTTTTCTTTTATGTTTATTTGTGTCACCTCATCTACCACAGACTGCTTTCATAATGTTTTCATAACGTAAAATCTTGCAGTCGAGTCATTTGTCCAAGATTGATACCGTGATAGCGTAGCCTTGCTTTCATTTTAACGTCTGACTTGTTTTGCTCTGATATGAATTTGTTTTGCTCGCTTGCTTGCACGAATTAGCGCATTAGACAGTGACCAAGCGATTATTCCTTCACTCCACACTTCCTGTAAATCAGGCAATTTAATGGCTGCCTTTTCCATGTATGCTAATGCGCGATTATTTTTATAAACAGCGCTCGATGGCTTCAGGCGCAAGGGGACTTCCTGTAGCCCCCGACACCAGACCTTCCGGTGTCCTCAGTGGCGTGCTTCATCTTAATATGATGAATTTTTAATTGTTGTTGCTTTTTTTTTTCCCAATTATTTTTTTATGTCTATATTTTACTGAGCCAGTGCCAATTTGTGAGTCCCTGCAGTGCTTATTAATGGAATCTATCAATCCACATGATATCAGAATTGCGCGGGCGTTAGAAGAATAGCAAGAGTTGGTCATGTGGATGACTAAACGGGAAAGGAAATATGTCCGGGGCTGTTGGAACTGCGCTGTTAATTCAATTCCAAGCGAAAGCACTGCTGCGTTTTTAGCTTAGGTTATTTGAGCTTAGTTTAGTTTTGCTTAGTTTAGCTTAGCTTAGCTTAGTTTAAGACAAGCGCAGGACTCACAGGCGGACCCAATGAACTCATTACTTTTATTATGTTTATTGTCGGGGCAGAGCAACAAGTCAAGGAGGCAGGAACCAAAGGCAGTCAGAGAGACCAAACCAAGGCGTACTGACGAGGTGAAGACTGGCAGGTGTGCAGGTGAGACAGGTGCAATGATTGGGGAGACGCCCAGCCCACACCGAATTAAGGAAAAGGAAACCAAAAAAAAAAAAACAAAAAACAGAACAGAGGAGAGGCAGGCGCAGTGGACAGACACAATGGATTCTAACACTGTACCGTCTTTGCAAATGACGGTTGAACGTCATGCCATTCCTTCATTATCGTAACGGCTAAGCGGATTTTTGCGCTTTGGTTAAGGTTAACCTCAGCGATGTTGTGTTTAGTGCTTCAAAATATGGACCAGGCTAAATCGATGAACCAATTAGAAATGAAACCACACAATCTCATTCTGGGAACCGAAGGGACTATTTCAAAGAACGTAATTAGGTAAGACTATTTCCATTTGTGTCTAGGAAGGGCGGGAAGTCAGCGTCAATGACTAAATCTCATCAGAAATTGTTCACCAGTTAGTACTTGAGCACTTTTTTTGCTTTGAGTTCTTTCTTTGTATTCAAACATAATGATTTTAAGGAATACTTTTTAAAGTAACCCAAGTCATATTTCACCATTCTCATGCTTAAGTACATTTTGGGTGATTTTTATTTATTATTGTTATTATTTTTTTGGTGGGTACCCTATCCAACTTTGACCCATTTCTTATGTCAGTGTATAAATCAGTTAACGTGGCCATAATTCGAAATCCATCACCTCGGGCTCATGTGCGTCTAGCATCAACGTTCACGCGAGCAAATTCTGACACCTTAAAAAAAAAAACAAAATGATGTTGACAGGCTCAGCTCTTAATCCGACTCAGAGCAGCCGTTTGTGGGAGTGGCCTCCGGCCTGAGGTGTGCGAGGCTATATTTTGGATTGATGTGACGGGAATCACCTCTCAAGCATGCTAGTCATCTGTCAGTTAGCCTTTGTGGTACGTTTCCGTTTGTTTGAGCAAATTATGGAGGAGGGTGCGGTGGAGTCTGTCTATTCAAGGATCGAAATAACTTTTATTTTCTTTGAGGAGCGGTCTCGCAAGTCATTGACTTCATTTGAGGAGCAACTTTTTGATTTTTAAGGAGCAATTAAAAAAAAAAAAATTGTAGGTTCATCCCAGAGACCCGAAACAAGTTTTTTATTAAACATGGCAAATATTTTGGTTTCTTTTTGTTTTATCAACACTTTTCATTTGGGAAGTTCATATCGACTAAGTTCCTCAACTGTCATATAATTTTGAGAACATTTATTGTGTAGATCCAAAGTCAAAATCAAAACCCAGTTGTGTTTTGTGAAAACTAATAAATAACGTTAGTAACAATTAAATATATACTATACTACATGAATATACTTTTAATCTTCAAGGCCATTTTCCCTAGCTGACTTATGCAACAATGGAACACATGTATTTGCGGTTTCCCCTCCTGTCTAACTGTGTAGAATTATTCATAATTATGTGCATAATTTTCTCTCCAGACTCTTAAATGCCCTGTCATTTTGTTTTTCAAAGTCACATACGTTCTACTTTAATGTGGTTCCAGCGAGACTTCTTGAAATAGTGTACCCAAGCACTTAATTCTGGTGTGTCACGAACACGTGTCGCTGGCGATAGCTTAGCAATTAGCATGGCTTCACGGTCTTTTGTTTAAGGCATCCCTTGTTTGCCACCCTCTTGACAAAAATTCCTGACTTAGGAGCGATTCTGAAATGTGTTTAATCGCACAATTAGTATCAAACTGGCACTGTTGGTTACGTATTATGTGGCATGCAAAAAAACACCATCAAACTTTAACGAAACCTCTTTAACTCATCAACACAGGGTCAGTGTGTCCCTTGAGCCAATTTCCACTGGACAAGAGGCTATATCACCTGTCCTGCCCTCTCCTGTCCTGTCTACTCATCAAATATTGAGGCTGAGCACAGAGGTATCCAGTTCTTTTTTTTTTTTTTTTTTTTTTTTGTTTTCATCTCCGGTTTCTTTGTATGTGGGACACCACAATAGAGCTCAATGAGCTCCACTTGCACGTCGTCGATCTTTCCGTTTGGGTGATCCAATTGGAAAAAAATCCTCCAGTAAAGTGATTACAGTGATTGTAATATCAGATATCACTTTTACAAAAAAAAAAGTCAGGAAGTAGTCAATTTTATTGGCCACTTTTGCTAATTTATGAAAAATGAGCCCTAAATTCAGAGTGAGATGTTTATGTTGTATTTTGGAATTCTCTATTGCACAGTGACTGTTTTTTCCTTTTGTCAAAAATAAATCAAAAATCTTTCTTTAAAATTATTTGTTGAATAGAAATTTTATGGATCAAAACTAATAGTGGTATCAGTTACTTGACATCAGCATCAGTGAGTACTTGAGTTGGGTACTCATGCTGGTATCAATCTGAAAAAAAGTGGTATCAAACATCCCGAATCATGCGGATCAAGCTCTGGAGTGACTGGCACGGCATGGCTGCTCTAACGCCGTCCCTGTCTACACAGGAAGTGATGTCATTCAAATGAGTGCAAGGGAAAAGTATTCAGTCCAACACGGTAGCTTAAAAAGGTAAAAAATTGTTCAAATTTGACGATGTGAGCATTTAAAAAAAAAATCTGTTTTGAGTTCCCAATTTCTAAGTCACTGTCTCGGTAGAAATCCGAGTGAGCCAGCCCTGGCAAGGCATCTCGCCACATGCGGGTACGCCACTTCTAATTTCACACCCAGCATAGATCAAATCGAAACCCATGACTCAAAATCAAACTCACCATCGCCACAATTACAATGCCTGCTGTTAATGTGACCGGCGCTTCCAGACAAACTCCAAGCCGCCAACTAATACTGCCATTACGAAAATTACCAATTGAGATTTTGACTCGTATTTCCCAGCACTCTCGAATGCATCGTAACCGCACAAACTTTCCTGACGGCAGTAAATGCACTTTTCAATCACTCCCTCGCTCATCGGGCTTGTTGTGGTTTTCACTGCAGCCATCTGTTAAGGACTAGTTCTCATCCCTAAACAGACGGTCCCCCTTCGTATACCCCAGGTACATCCCCCTTTGCCCCCTAACTACCACCTCGAGAGAGGTCTACCAAGCCAACAAGGGGATCACAGTTTCCTGAGCAGCTTGAGCAGAAAATAATGGCAAGTGACCCATTAAGAGCCATATGCGCCCTATTGGCAAATACAGTACATTCAAATATTACATACGTGTTATTTTTTTTCCCCTCTATGTTGACTTTATGACGATGCAGGTAAGTCTGTCTGCAACAATAGCCACCAATTCATTGGCTGTAAAATTTTTACGGCCAACAAAATGTGACCCTAACTCGTGATGGAGTATAGTTGTCACATGGTACAAAAGTAACCCAGAGAAAGGTACACTCGGGATAAATTGTAGTTCTCATACTTTTTGGGTGCAAGGATCTCTGACACGGGAGATTTATTTATTTTTTGGGCCCCCAAATGATCCCCTAGTGCTGCGAACGCCAACTTTTATTTTTTGCCCCCAAATGATCCCCTAGTGCTGCGAACGCCAACAAAACAGAGCTAGCTTACACAACCCTAAATAGGGGTGGGCGATTATGGAAAAAAATAATCATCATGATATCGAAATGATGATTCATAAACACAAATTCATTCATTCATTTCGAAATGTTGCCACTTGAGAGAACTGAAAAAGAAATGGATCCAATAAGGTAGGCTCGCAGATGGGCAAGGAGAGCCACAGCCGCTGATGCAATTTCAGCCATCTATGGAACGGGACAAACAAAAATAAATTGAGGACCATGTTCTGGGATCATAGTTTTGTGCTACTTTTACAGTTTAAACTCTTGAATAGTTGGCTGGCTAATAAGGTTAGCTGGCTGCCTGCTTGCGACACACAACTGTTCTTTCTTCAACTGTTTCCTTCTTACTTAGAAGACGTTTAACTGCTCGGAAGGAGAGTGACATGCCGGGCGAATTTACAACCGCAAGTTGAGTGGAACAGTTGAGCGGTCGCACCGCACACAGTCATGGCGACAGTACACATGGGTTAACGTTTTCTCACATATCAAGAGACGGGAGGGAGAAAACAACTTGTCACACAATAGAGCTAGATGCTAGCATTGTTTTTGCATTTGGAATTGGGAGATCTGTTACTTGTGCTACTTCCCAGACAAAATGGAAATAAAAAATATACTTAGACATATATACATGCCATAAAATCCAATGAGGTACAGTAAAAACTAATGTAGCTTGGTATCGTGCATGGAATTGGCTTAGATGCTAACATTAGCATTACATTTGGAGGCCATTTTATTTGTATATGTAATTCCATTTTTTTTTTTACACAGAAGTACACATCATACAAAATAATGTGATACAGTAAGAGCTAATGTAGCTCTTTGGAGCTTTTCCTATTTCATGGCACATTATGCTAACAGAGCTAACAGTTTTTAACACCGGTATGTAGGCCTATTCTAAACATTTATCGCTGTTCTGAATGTGATAACTTTCATTATTTTTTTTAAGGAGGCCTATAGCCGAAGTCGATTTTTTTTGAGGGGGTAATTTAAAGAAAAAAAAAAAGCGACCGGAAAATGTACATATACACAAACAAGTATACATAGCAACAACCAAATGAGTTTTGAACTTGTTACTCTTCACAGAAGAGGACGAGAGTCAAACACTAGCATTTCATTTAGTGTCTGCACTGCAGTTTGAATGTCCTCTTCTAAAAAAAAAAAAAAAAAAAAAAAAAAGCAGTATAAATGTCAACATTAATAACATTTGGTCCGGTTCTTGAACTGGAACATTTTCCATATTTGTAACTTAATTTTTTTTTCCCTGTGATTTCCCTCAAGGAAGGCTAAAACCGGAAGGTCAATATGATCAGTTATTACAAAGAGAGAATGTTATGAACAGCCATGAATGTGATTTAATGAAAGATCAGATGTGTTTTTATGAGCGGAGGGATTAAGCGTGTCGACGGGAGGTACTGAACAGACATGTTTATGGGTGTTTTAATGAAGAGACATGACACCGTTACTGTAATCCTTTTATGACTTGGCGGTACCACAAAAAAAAAAAAAAAAAAAAAAAAAATCGTCAGACGTTTAGTGGCGGGATTTCCTTCTCGATCTCTTATCAGCTCTTTTATGAAAACAATGGACGCTGCCCACGTGAGATTGGCCGCCCCTGTGCTCACAACGTTCTCCTCAAAACCAGATGCTGCCTTCTGGGCCCGAGCCAGCAAGTGTACGAACAGGAAGAAGCCGCAAATCAGATATCCAACACTTGTTCGGAGTGATATGACCTTTTTTTTACATTTTCATTTGTATCTGGACCAAAATGTGTGTGGTTGACAAGATTGTGTTGACACCCGACGTTTTAACCTCAAAGATTGTGTTGTACCTGGGGTTATAATATCACTCATTGCTCCATCGGGCTATCGTTAGCATAACATTTGTATGCCAACGCCACAACTACGATAATCCCATTCATCATACTTTACAAGTAGTACTGTACTATGAATTTTTTATGAGTTGTTTAGTGTTTGCACAAATTCCAAAGCAAAACCACGACGGTGAATTTACGAGCAATATTATTCATATTGTTATCTCCATGTCAAAAATTGTGGACACTTTTTCTATGCGTGCATATCCATGTTAAAATGATTAGTTAGGATTTCCAAACTTTGATCTATGCACTTTCCCGTACGATTTAAAACACTTCCCAGAAGTCCCAATAACATTTTTGTCAAAGTAAACCAAAGATAAAGAATTATTGTTTTGAAGCTTCTGTCCAGTTAGAGCTAGCTAACGCTTACCCTTTACGCCCTGTAAATCTTGAACGCAAATACGGACTAGTTTCCAATTTAGCAACTTTTTCCACAAAACGTAATAATGATTCAGACCTCTCTAGTGAATCAAAAAGCAGCTCACAACAAATCTAGCGACTTCTTTCGCCATGAGACTTTTGGATTAAAAAAACAAACAAAAAAAAAACAGTTCCTTTTGAGAAAAGGGTGCCAGTTATTTGGTTTCCTAAAAATCATTTCTTTGAGTGACTGACAATTCCACTGTTTGATTCCTAGTCTCAGACAAAAACTAAAATACAATAAAATTTTAAAAAGTGCTTAGACCGGGCTCAGCCGCTGGTGAGCGCAGCGTTGTCAGCCACGAATGGGTTCACGTCATGGAAAATATTGAGTTGGGTTCTCCCTGAAAATCACTTCTCTCGGTTGTGCCCCCTTCGGCTGTTCCCCTGACTCTCCCTGAGATGAAATTGTGTAATTTCACATAGAACCGACCATTTGTATACAAGCCAGTCAATTTTCCACAATACAAAAGTCAGTCATTTGGAACTAAACGCTCATGGCGAATGGACAGACGAGACATGATGAATTGTTTATATTTACTTGAGCGAACTGGCTTCTGAATGACACGATACTTGAGGCAACTTGCGCAAGTGCGCTACTGGTTTTGGCATTTGGAGACGGCAAGAGCCCGTTAAGCTCCATTTCACAACAAAGGGATTATCTGAATTACTGGTGACATGCGTTGTGTGGGACAAGCGCCGATTGGCACGCACTCAAGTGCGACGAACCAAATGCGTCCGGCCACACACACTCGCACACACGCTGGATTAATGCCTGAGATTCCTGTGGAGGAAGATGGAAAGTATTTCCACACGTTGCTATTTAATATAGACCTTTTTTTTATTATTTACATTGACACATGTAAGACATCCATTATACACAGCAACAGTAAATAAAGCCTCCGGTTTAATAAATACCAATGATGGACGGGGGGGAGAGGGGAAAAACCCATTGATAGATGGTCCAATTCTCTCTTTTAGTTTCTCAAACTCTCCGTTACCGAGGCGACAAAGTATACAGTACACGCACACCAAAACCAGCATCTCAACATTTGCTATATATATATTATGTGTACCGCGTCTTCATTAAGATGGTCGCCTTCTGATATGACTTTACAATATATGCACAGTGAAATGTATATTTACACAATGTAGAGCAAAGAGAACATGTTTTCGGGCATTCACATGACAACGACAGAGTGACCATGATGTGATTGGGCGAGCTTGTATTCGGCGATGTCATATTGTCAAGAAAACATAATGCTTTAGCCATTTTTTTTTTCAGCATTTGGATGAAAACAAAACAAAACAAAACAAAAAAAAACCCCAAAACTGATTTATGTATATTTTTACTTGGGCTGGTCATAGTAATCGATTAATCTGATTAATTAATTTTTTTTTTTTGTTTTGTGAAAATGTATGGTACTCAATGTTGCACTACCTGGCTACAGCCAGCAGAGGCACTGTTCTTTGGGTCGCAAGAAGTTTACATTCCCAAGAACTATTGTTGAATCAATTGTTATGGTTTTAAGGATGCCTAAATGGTATTCTTTGCCATTGATAATTACCATTTACCACAATATAACACTTCATCGATCATTAATTTTGCTTACTGAGTCAAATATCAGACTTAGTTCCACCAGGAATGACTGTTTATTATCGCTTCTACAATTGGATGGCCTTTTTGAAGACTCGATCATGCCTGAAAGCGAACCAACATTAGCATGTATCTTGGGAAAAAGGTAACATATTTTTGGGGATCATGTCAGTTCTGAAAGCAAGCCCCCGCAAGTTACTCAGTAGTGCATCCTGGAAAGTTTGAATAAAATAATCAAAAAATCGGCCCTAGTACCAGTTTTGCTAATGAGTATAATAACATTAACCCTTCAAAACGTCTGTCCCGAAAGTTGGCCTTTTTGGTATGAAGCTACCATTTAGCACCAAAATCCGGTGGCTTATAGTTGGACCAACACCTATAAGGGAATTTGAATTATTCACCTATTTGCGTTTTTTTTAAATTTATTTATTCACAGAGTCTCCGCATATTTTTGAGCGCTTTCTCTAATGCGTTTGAATGGCGCCAAAACTGTACGAATATGAAAACGGTGATCAGTCCGTAAATTGAAGTGACTCAGTCTTGGTGGATATTTACATTTTGGGGGAGGAGCTGAATTTAACCTGGGTTGTTAGTGGAGAGTCTTTACCACATGCCTGTATCGACTCACTTCCTATTCATTTCTTCTAAATGGAATCATGAGTAAGGCATTTATTCTTCATGCTAATGTTGCGAGATGAATATGAAATGATATTCAAGTATTCCGGGATCATAGTTTGTGGTATATTCGCAGTTGAAACTGTGAACTTGGGCAATTAGAAATATTCTTAGGGGTAGGTGTCAGATTCTTGCGGGGGTTTTTTTCACGGACAATGATGAATAATAGCGGAGCCGCTAATAAGTATTATTATACGGATTCTTTTTTTGGAATATTTAGAGAAGTGTACACACACTCCACCAATTCACAAACAGATGTTGAGACACATTAAGAGGGCATTTTCCTGATGGGAACAAAGGAAGCGTGTTGTTGTGCAGCGAACATCTGGACTCAAAGGAGAGAATGGGGAAAAGCAACTTGTGGCCAGGGAACAATGATGATAATGAGGAAACTTAATGTTTGCTCTCCAGAAACCCCCCCCCCCCGAAAAAAAAACAACAACAACAGAAATCTCTGAAATGGCAGTACCAGCATGTAAACAACGAGGCAGAAACACAAACTTTTTTTTTCAATGTTTGATGTTCACCTGCTAAAGCTAGCCCGCTAAAGCTTTGCATTTGTCCCCAGCGTCTGACAAAAAACAAAACCAAAAAAAAAAAAAAAACCCACGCAACTATCTACAAAACAAGCTAGCGTACCTTGTCGTAAGGCCTTTTCTGGCGGCTCGCAGCTCTGTGGCAGTGAAATGATCTGAAAATCTCCTGAAAGCGGATCAGGCGGTCTTTAAAAATAGCTGATTAAAAAAAAAATAAAAATAATAAAGTAGCTCAGTTTGAAAAGTTGGACCCTGAATAAACATCACCTTCATTTGAAACATGTAATACTGACAATAAAAAAAAAATAATAATAATCAAAAAAAGAAAAGGAAAAGCTGCACTACGGGATGTGTGGAATGATATGAAGTGCCTCGAGTGCATTTTTCTTTTTTCCATTGCAGAGAAAATCTGATGTCAGAAGTGTAAGAAAAAAGGTGGTAAAAAGGAAAAAAACTTCAAAGAGAGCTGATAAAACCATCATTATGACAGACATAAGGGTGTAATATATATATGTATATTTTTTTTTTCTTTGAAGAGTCCTCCCTTGAAAGTCACAGACAGTCACAATGACAAAATGTTCTGCTTTGTTTTGTCTGGAGTGCCCAAATGGGGGCAAAGTAGGGGGAGGACACTTTTGGTTTTTTTGGGCAACACAGTCTTTGTGGAGAATGTGGGCAGTCTTTTTCAGGGATGGGGACAGGTTGGGGTGGGTGGTGGCAGTGTTTCGTTTTTGTTGTAGTAGCAGAACATGAGAGGCACTTCTTTTAAGAGGCGGGGTCGGTGGGGGGAGCGGGGCCCCTCACACCCGCTGGACTCCGAGACCCGTGCCTTCCAGGAAAACCTTGTGCTGGGTCAGTAAGGGCTGTGTCGGAGCGCTGCTGCTGTTTGAGCTGAGCTGGAAGGACGTGTTGGGAATGCTGGGCTCCTCTTCGCCATCTTCCTCCCCCATGGGGGCGGTGGCGGCGGCGTTCCTGGGCGGCACCGTCATCCTGGAGCTGAAGTTCAAATAGATCTGGCGGGGGGGAACAAGTGCACCAATCAGCATTTGTGACATGGGTGTAGACAAGGAAATTAGCATGGGTGTTGAGTTGGGTATCGAGGATTCTCCACAGTCTCACTAATACAGTGGTACCTCTACTTGAAGGTCTCTTCATATGAAATTTTCAAGTTATGAAAACCTCAGCAGGAAAATATTGCTCTTATATTACGTCTCTACTTACACCATTTTCTACTTAGATTTCTTCCAGAACCAATTAATCTCATAAGTAGAGGTACCACTGTATCTGGATTTTGGCTTGTTGACTGCATCGTCTGCACTCTCCTCCTTCCCTTTCTCGCTCGAATAATGAGATTATAATTGACGCAGAATGCATTTTAAAAGTGCAAATACATCGAGTTCTCCCCAGGGATGCCAACAAGAGTGTTTTAACACCCCCCAGGCTCCGTGCCTTGAGGCTGACTTTGTATCGAGAGCAGTGTCACCACGCATGAAATTATGTCAATCAATGATGGGTTTGGTGTTTGGCCAATTCTGCCCGAGGTGTCAACAACACTTACGTGCTTGGTTGCGTCTGACAGCTGTTGCTCGATTCTCTCCACCACCTTCCTGAAGGAAGGCCGCTGGATAGGGTTGGCGTCCCAGCAGGACCGCATGATCTCATACCTGGGGAGCAGTCACACGTGTACTGTTGTCACGTCGAGACTCGGATTCACTCACACCCTCTTAAATTGTTCTGGGAAGGAACTGAGTTCACATGTGCTCACTATCATCTTTGGCGTGCAAGCGCCGATGAATGATGCCGATGACGGGTATGGCGGGGCGTTGATAAGGCGACTTTGCCTTATAATGAATTGGAATACGTTCGGATCAGTTTTCGGTGGTTAAGACTGGAAAAACTGAGACATCTATTTGAGGCACGGTGTTTTTTTTTCGAGTGAGGCATCCAGTGATAAATTAGGGTCTGGCGTCTATTATCCAGCCATACCGCATCATAGCTAAGGAAGGTCTGATTAGGTGCAGAGTGTTGTGTTTTGATCATTGTTGGTTTATTGATTGGTTAATAAAAATGAGACGACGCCCTTGAGGTATGGCATTCATTTTTCAAGGGGTGTGTCATAAATTGGGCCACATGATGGCTAATTAAGCTTGACGGGATTCGTGTTTTTTTTAGGTTAGTTGGTTATTTTAAGAGAAATAAAAATACATGGATTTGGGGTAGGGTGCGTATTTATTTAAGACGGTTTATTTGAGGAATGCCATTTGTTGGGATGCTGCACCCAGCACTAAATTTGGTTATGCTGTCTACTGGCCACAATGCAAAAATATGTAAATACGGTCTGATTCAGTGCAGAATGTTGTAGGTCAGTTGTTTGGTTTAGCATAAAAAAAAACCTAAAAATTTATTTGGGTAAGGGCATTTATGTTTTCAAGTCGACGGCTCAACGGTTCACCTTACAATTTATTGACCTGTGTCGATTCGAGCATGGCCCACTGTTTATAGAAGTACAGCATTTAAATCGGAAAGTGCAGATCAACAAACTACTGTTTTTGGGGGGGGGGGGCTATGTGCTTTTATAGTCAATGCAGAACACCGATCAAATTTTGTTTTTTGAATACATTTGTGGGGTTCTTGTTGTTTTCGACAGTACGAAAAGTTAATAGTTGAATAGTTGTCTGCCAGTGAAACAGGATGAGAGTGGGCCGTCACCAAAAAAATCTCACTTTTTTTTTTGGGAATTCAACACCTTTTTCAAAGATGAATAAAAACACGTCCCTCCAGTCTTACATTTCACAAGGTGCAAAGTCGGGCGAGTCCAGCCTGTATCCTTCTTTAATCAGCTTGTAGAACTTGGCGTCCACGGGCATTCCGGGATAAGGACTGTTCCCTGCGTGAAAGATTTCTCCGATCAGAAAAAAAACAAAAAAAAAAACCCAAAACAACATGCACAAATAAAGAGTGGAAGCGCATACCGAGCGAGAAGATCTCCCACAGCAGAATGCCGTACGACCACACGTCGCTCTCGAACGTGTACACACACTCGAAGATGCTCTCGGGTGACATCCACTTGACCGGCAGCCGAGCCTGAGTTGACAAAATATTAAGCGTGCAAGAGAGTAAAAAAAAAAATACTGCGGTGTTCTTGATAAAGTTCTCAGAAGTCACACTAATGACGTGAGAAACAGCTGCAATCAGATGCAAAAATAGTCAGTTACAACCTCATTAGAAATGTTTGTTTTTATTGCTGGTAATGGCGACGAACAGTGTTGATGTCGTTTGCCGCTTCCCAGGAGTTTAAGAATCGGCTGTGTGAAAGCGATTGTTGCGGCCGTGCTGATTTATCGTGGCTAAGAGCAATTTGAGATAACGGCATTTATTTCTGTGGACAACACAGCCCCTATTACAATAGAAGCCGAATTTGACGGAAAAACTATAATTTGGTTATCTTGTCACCCCACGTGTTGGCAAAAGAAGTTACGTTGCCGTGGTTACGTTCTGTCAGTTAGCGAGTAAAATAAGATTACGGTATTTATTCGAAAGGAAGGCATACCGACTGATTGACTGAGGCGCCTTGTCGGTATTGTTGTTGGTTTCAGGTAGGCCCGCTCTATTTTTCTGAGCAAGAGCGATAACGCACCTAGCAATAAATTAGGGTCTTGGTCATTTTTGGTTTGTTGGTTGGTTAGTTCACAGTTATTTATTCAAGTGAAAGAGGCACCCGTGAATAAATTTGGGAGTAAAGCGTCTATTAGAGCTGAGGCTACATGAAAGAAATATTTGACTTTGGTAACCCCGATTTAGATATGCTGGTTAAAAATAAATTTGAAAAAAAGCAAACAATTTGAGGTAAGGCATCTATTTACTCAAGACATCAAACCCGGTAAGGAATCGGGGCACTCGATTAATTTCTGTGTATTGGATCATGAAGAAAAAGAAAACATCTATTTTAGGTCAAACGTCAATACATTTGAAGCGACCACTTACCGCCACCTACAGTGCTGGAGTTTCACTGCATCAAATTCTTTTAATCAATCGAGTGCTCAGCATTTTTCAGTACCGTTATTTTTAGCTTTGAAAGGGTATATTTTGGCATGCAGGTGAAACTTTCGGTCGTTTTTAAGACCTCTTGATCACGAAGTGATCTTGTCAAGTTTGAATGTAACTCACGTTGCCTTTGACAACATAGTTGGAGTCCGTGTTGATGTCTCGGGCCAAGCCGAAATCACAGATCTTTGCCACTCGCCCTTGAGTGAGCAGGATGTTTCTGGCCGCGAGGTCTCTGTGGATGCACTGCAAGGGGGCAGGGTGGGGGGGAGCACCAATGAGACATGTTCTGTGAGTGACATCATCCGAGTATTGCATTTTTTTTCCCCCTTATCACCAGCTGGCAGACACTTGACTCCGACAGTAATTAAATTTTCAACAGCGTGCTGTGACATGCACTTGTGGATACGCTTCCTAGCGGTGGAAACGTGAGCCGCGCTTTGTGTGGAGACAGAAATCAGATCAATCAAGAAGACTACAATACTATCGTGAAAGGTGTTTGGACTTACAGCCAGAGTGCAACATACCAGAATCAGGTCCCAACAGTGTGGACAAGCAGACAATACTTGAAAGTTTAGCAAATGATAAGTACGTTTTTTTTGGTGTCTTAATATAAAATACTACAGTATCTGTGTGTATAGTACTCTTATATAGGGGTGTAACAAAACAATTTGAATGAGAAAATTATTTTTGATTTAAAGGTGTGGGGCGGCTCGGTGGTTGAGTGGTTAGCACGTCGACCCCACAGTGCAGAGGTACCGGGTATGATTCCAGCTCCGGCCTTTCTGTGTGGAATTTGCATGTTCTCCCCGTGCCTGCGTGGGTTTTCTCCGGGTACTCCGGTTTCCTCCCATATTCCAAAAACATACATAACGGGCTAATTGGACACTCCAAATTGTCCCGAGGTGTGATTGTGAGCGCGGATGGTTGTTTGTCTCCGTGTGCCCTGCGATTGGCGACCAGCTCAGGGTGTCCCCCGCCTATTGCCCGAAGACAGCTGGGATAGGCTCCAGCACCCCCAGCCAAGATGTGAGCGCATCGGAACACAAACGAATTGAATGTCATTCCACTTTCTAATGTACCGTCCTTATCGAGATATGCATCGAATCATTTTTTAAAATTTTTTTTTAGGGATTCTCACCGCTATGTAAATATATGTACACACACAGTATGTGTATACAGTATGTCTGTATATTGGGTGTAACGAAAACTTTTTTTTTTTTTCCACAAATGTGAGTGCATCGACACACAAACGAATGAATCAGTTTCAATGTAGCCTGAAAATGGGCTGATCAAAAGTTATACATCGGTCTAAATCGGTTGGATGTTACTGATATGAGGTATGATGAATACTCACATTCTTGGAAGCCAAGAATTCCATCCCTTTAGCCACCTGGTAAGAGAAGCTCAGGAGATCCTCAGTGTCCAGCGGCAGCCCGTCATCGTCGAACATTTCCATCTCGGCGTCCCCTTCGCCGTAGTAACCGCCTGAGAAAGAGGGAAAAAGGGGCGTTAAGTTGAAATAAAATTCTGACTTTTTAAAAAAAAAATTGGAACTCGATGAATGTCCGACTCGCCTTTGCGGAAGGAGCTTCTCTTCTCCACGGTGCTCGTGGATGAGGACGAGGATGAGGACGAAGGCGACTTGCCAGCGGCAGAAGGCCGCATGGGCATGTAGCCGTTCAAGCTGCGACGAGACGAAAGGAGCAATCTGAGAAGCGGCCTTGAAACACCCTACTCCTACGCACGTTCTGGAGAGTAAGCAGCAAGTTTGACGCTCTACAGGACTTTACGCTCAATTCCGATTTCGCAGTTTCGTATTTTGTTTTGACGATGAATGGTTTGCGGATGGCCTGAAAACTTGCCTTTTTTTTTTTTTTGTACGTGCGAGAATCATGCTGTTTGATCACCCAACACAAAATTGGGTGGATCGGTGAATCATAAGATGTGGGGAAAAAAAAAGCATCTTTTTTTTTTTTTAAATTTTTTGGTCAGATCATGGGATTTCGAGTCAAATGTTCAGATTATGGGCGGCAAGCATCTTTTTTTAATTTTTTTGGTTCGATCATGGGATTTAGAGTCAGATATTCAGATTATGGCCGGCACGACGGCCGAGTGGTTAGCAGGTCGGCCTCACAGTGCAGAGACGCACGATTCCGTCTTCGTTGGGTTTGCATGTTCTCCCTGTGTCTGTGTGGCTTTTCTCCGGGTACTCCGGTTTCCTCCCACATTCCAAAAACATGCGTGGCGGATCAATGGAACACTCTAAATTGTCCCTAGGTGTGATGGTGAGTGCGAATGGTTGTCCGTTTTTGTGTGCCCTGCGATTTGCTGGTGACCAGTTCAGGGTGTACCCGAAAACAGCTGGTATAGGCTCCAGCACAACCACGACCTTTGGGGGCTTAAATGATCAGAAAATGGATGGATGGATGTTCAGATTCTGAATGACTTGCAGTGTTTTCCCAACTGCGTCTGGGCAAATCTTTAGCGTGCACTTGAAACAACTCACCCCGCTGTGACCCTCTGCGACACCACATTGCGATAATAGCAGTCTTCATCCATCTTGGAGATGAAGAAACATTCCCTCTTCCTTCGCAAAAAGTTGAGCAGGTCGCCAAAGCAGCAGTACTCCGTAATCACCAGCGTGGGGCCTTCCGGCACAGACAAACACATATTTAACTCTTTTGGAGACAGCGGTGACTACAGTGGACAGCTTATCACGTTATCGGGTTACAGGGTGCAGGGAAGGGTTAATATGCGGAGTAGAGGTCAAGAGCGATCCTAAACACCCCCAGCACCCACCCCCAACGGAGGTGCCCCTTACCTCCCACGGTGCAGGCTCCTAGCAGGTTGACGATGTTCATGTGGTTTCCCAGATAACTGAGAACCTTCAGCTCAGACATCAGGGCTTCCTTTTCGGTGGCATGAGCGCTCGCTGCGGAAGAAAACCAAGAAAAGTCCAGGTGAAGTTGGATTCACCGATGCGTTTATTGATGGATGAGACAAAAAAGATAAACGACTAACGTTGCTCTGCTGCCCCAAAAAAAGACCAAAGTACTGACGTTGCATCTTCCTTAAAGAATACACTGATGTTGCAATTTTCTCAAAAGTAGACAAATTATGGATGCTGCGCTTAATTTTCAAACTGTCTCGGTGAGTTGTTTTAGCTGTGCACACACTCAACTCTTTCTTTTGCTCTGAGATGATACGGCAAAGATGTACAACCGATAACTGCTGTTTGAATTTGGCCTTGAGTCCCCATAGCACTCGATTTGAATTGATGCACGAGCTCATTCGGATAATCCCGTCTCTGTTTTTCACGGTACGCGCGTGAAATTCTGACA